TTGAAGGGAAAAATTGGAAAAATTGAACCATGTGAGAAAATGCGGCGCGGTCGTGCTGACATTTGCAAATGGCGATGTTTTATGGTTTTATGGTTCAAAACAGAGAAGACCATTTAACAAACTCTCAGTACCTCCCAGTATAGCCACCTGACCGAGCATCAATTCTCGAGGATTATTGTAGTATTCCGTAAGATCCACCACTCCTTTCCGCATCGTATCAGTTACAGACCAACCTTGAAAATGTCATGTTCACGTTTGTCTATCTTGCGACGGAAAATTCAACAGGAAAAGCTGTATCGGAAATGGAAAGACGGCTTACCCACGAGAACAGCTCCAAGAGTGATGAATATTGATGCTAGAATATAAGCCTAGAAAAATACCATTGTAAAAAGGCAAAATCAATGCAGATGTTTACGGTATTAGTGTTAAAAAGTGGAGAAACTCTTTGTTCTAAGAATTAGTTAAATTCGATTTTTTTCATGCTATTTATATGGGATGAGCAGGGCCTACAATTCCGCCCTGGCGAACCGATAAAGGAAGCATAGTGGCAGTCGTGGCTACGATTACGGACGGCATAATGGCGCCTACATTTTCATCAAGAAGTAGCCTGCTTTAGGATTTATATTAATGAGATCACATGAATCTATTTGTTCCAGCTCAGCGTGTACCTGTATGATGTGACAGACGCACTTCAATACAGTGTTCTAACGTATTCGAATCGTTGGCCCGAGTCTGCGTCAAGCAGGAACGCTTATTATATAAGCCACAGTCAGAGCATAACCGGGAAGATGAAAATGCGAAATTTTGCGCGGAAGTAAGAGAAAGAATCAGAATTGCAGATCTGCAACGAAATAAAATAAGATATAGAAATAGTGAGGTGTAGGGCTCTTGCTTACGACAAATTTATAGGCAATGATGTGGTTTGGGGCTGCGAGAGCGCGCAGGGCGTATTTCAAGACCTTATGTTCTTTTTACGTATGGTGTCGCCTACCAGCGGGATTCCATGGAATTTCTTGTAGCTGTGGTGGTAGCAGTCTGTCCACTGACCAGCATCTCCAGTGACACTCCTAGTGCGATTCGTAAATTTTGGAAGGATTGTGCGACTAGCGGATTTGTAAATTATTATATGATTTTCACGGATTATTCCTCAAACGCTGCTCTTTTCACTGAGTATTTCTGGCCTGGTTGGTTGATCTTGAATATTTCTACTTCATTTTATCTGATTTCGACACCGTACATTATCAGGCTGCGTTCAGACTTCGCACTGAGGCACGTCGATATACGTTACTTGTGAACGTATGTCTAATCATTGACATGTTAGTTATTTTCATTTTGATTTTTTGTGGTGTTAGTGACACCTCTGCGCTGTTGTTGTTGACTACCCCTCTCATTATGATCCCCCACCTCAATGGCAGATACGACCCTCCCCCTGTCAGGGAATCCCCAACGACAGTGTGCCCCGCGTCGACGCGCGTCGTAACGCGTGGTCGCCTTCGAAGCAACGACGCTCTCGTGCTATAGACGGGAAAATAGTGTACAGGAATAGTAAAGTCCCACACTGTTTGGTAGGGCAACGCGTGCCCTCCTACTCTCCTAGACTATCTTGACACACTAGCAGCCGGTAGCCATCAATACACCTCCATGGCTGCGTTCCCATCAATAGCATAGGACGCTACCGCAATGGAAGCGGTTGCAGCGCGTCGACACGGGTCATCGCGAAGTCTTGACGCAGCCTATGAAGGCACGCCTGCTTTTTATGAAGTTTGAATTCATTTGATTTTAACGCCATAGAAATGAGGGCGACATGGTCTGGTGGCAAGTGGCTCACCACACGCTCGCTCCAGTGTGGGAACTCAGAGGGCCAGGCCAAATAGATTCCACCTTTCGGGGATGGCGCATTGGTATCTGATTTGTCTGGAGAGACAAGAACACTGGACTGGTCATCAGCTGACCCTTGCGAATGCCTGCACAGCGGCCTAGGCTATATCGCTTTCACTAAGCCACTGCGACGCCCAACGGAATTAATAGAACTGATGGCGCTTTCAAAAAGGATAAGGGCAAGACCCTTGACATTTTTCAAATTATCGAGGTGATTTCAAAATCATTGGTCATTTTCGACCTTTGTTCTGTATGAAAACTTCAAGTTGGGAGCAGCACACGAATCAAATTCACCAACGAAATTTGAATTTCTGAATAAATTTCGAGATGTGGTAAACAAACCCTGTCGAGAGGCACAGCTGGCGAAGTTGCTATCGACGTGATCGAAGAGGTGAAAACTTCCATGACTTCCATCTAAAAAGAGCGCTTGAAGAGTCCTTGGTCGTTTGAACGGTGGAGTCAAAATTGGGATAACGAGTAAGGTAAGGTTGTTCATTGAAACGACCGATGAAAACGACTTTGAAAACGAGTACATTCTCTAGAATGGGAAGTGCGTCTAGGTTAGCACTAATGGTAAGACCAAGTCGCATAGTCTGCTGATTAGCTTAGATAAATACAATAGCAAGAGTGTGTTCTCTAGGAAGTGCACGGTTCCGAAGCAATGACATACAGAGCCCAAATTCAAAATTTTCATGCTTGAGAAAGTCTTTTCACAAGTTTGAATACATTCCTATCATTGCGCGTTTGCTCATCAAAAGAATCGCATGCAGACAGTTTATTCATTCAGATGATAAACGCAGAAAAATCGCAAATGTGGTCATTCTAAGGATAGAATTATGGACAAAAAAACTTCACTGAAAAAATTTTCATTTTGTTTCTTGATATCCCTGAAGCGGCTCTGAGAAGCGAAACTCATTTCTAGCTCTGCACGTATAATATAGAAGAAGTCGGCTCGAGGAAGCTGTCCATGCACTGGGTAGTTCAGGGGTGAGCGTGCGTGTGGTCACACTCCCATGCAGGGGACTAAACCCATCGGGAAAAACGGATTGTTCCTCTTTTTCCACCTTCTCCTGACCACGGCTAAAGGTGATTGTAGTACTGTAGGTTTTCCTCTACTGAAACTCTCGCGAGGTTGATATAGCACTACGAAAGGTGATTGTGATGCCGTAGGTACCTGCTGAAATGCTCAGCGTCGCGCTTGACCCTTGGCGTTCTAATGCTAGCACAGCGGACCAGAGCTTTATTCTCACACCAAGGCATCTCGCCCAGACATTCAACGTCATTTCATCCCAGGTCTATAAGAGATTGCAGCCACATAGCGCTTGTACTCAAGATTCGTTCAGGAATTCGTGGGAGAGAGAAAAAGAAAATTTTTTAAAGGATCTTAAAAAACAGTCAATTTTAGGATTTCTGGATGGTTTTATATCTTGCAATGGATATCTCAGAAATGGAATAGATTGAAATCGGTAGCGAAAATAGAAAATAAACCTTAAGCAACATTAGTGATCGATTACCAGTTCCTATAACTGGCTGTCTCTTTGACATTAATCATTCTTCTTCTCTAGCCATGCATTCTAAATAGAATAACGTGAACAGGTCAAGAATGCATTCAAGTCGTAGCAGAAATCTTTTTGAACCAGGAGAATGGAAATACCGAGGAGAGTGAGGTGGTGGTGAGGAGAGGGCCCAAACAAATGGTGGTCTGCTGCAACCCTCGACGTCAGTGCGGTCTGGTGTAAGATCGCTTCTGGAAAAATACTGATACAACCATCATCGACGGCTGAGAACTTCCATGGAGGATAAAACAGAACATGGAAACAAGACCAGTAACTTAGCCCGATGCCTAATAAAAATGGCAGAGAATTCACCGTTCCTTACAGGCAACAGTAGTGAAAATAACCGCCTTTAGATGCTGCATGTCACTGCAAGACTTCGTCGCCGATTCCAGACCTCACATTTTGGGAGCCTTGATGTGACTTAATGGACTTGGTTAGGAACGTAACGCTCTAACCGCTTGCCAAGTGTGGCTTCGAAAACATGCTTCTGGAGCTTAGAAGTCCTCTAGATATCAGCACTTCATAATTAGAAACCTGCACGGACAGCATGCAAAAGTTGAGTAAGCTCGTAGCCTTGCTGTATTGAAAAGAGATCTCAGGCGCAGTTTTGGCGTGACAACTGGTGGGGGGGGGGAGGGCATTTTGCACTTTACCCGACTCCGTCCCAGTCGACCTGTCGCAACACATCACAGCACGACTACTATCGAGTGTGCACAAGGTTTAATCAATGCCTGGATTGAGGAGCTTGCTCCCGGCTGTGAGAGAGAGTGTGTGGAGGTTTCAGCGCAGAGTGAGACTGTTAGACGCAGAACTAGTGCACAAGCCAACGAAAGTGCAAAAAATGACACCCCGTCCGGCGATTAACGACATGTTCCATTCTTCCGACGCATAAGGCTCTGCTTAGCATCAGTTTGATCAGTAGCGTGGAATAAATTTCACACCGGACAAAGGCACGCATCCGTGGTGAAGTCGACAGGAAGCAATGATGAGCACGCTAACTCCAACATCCATGCATTTCCCGAGTAGGAGGAACATCCCTCAAATGCACACCACACAAGGTGAATCGAGCTGAATGGTCTTACAGTGGCGACTGTCCTTTTCTCGTGTTCATTTAGGAGATTCATAATGAAGAGTCGATGACTTTTGGAGAAACATGGGATACTTACATAGACTACGCAGACGCAGTAGGGCGCCGACAGAGAATTTTTTCAGGACAGAATCGCCCCCCCCAGCAGTTTTCATATAAAAAACGAGAGAGGCTGCTAATTTCGAAACGTTAGATGAAACTTTGAATTAATAGTCCCTCTCTTCGTCGTTAAAGGCTTGAACGTGACGCAAGCTTTAGGATTTGCTTTCTAAACTGCTCGCATAAAAGGCTGACATCAACAAGTCTCACTGATTTTTCTCTACGTAAATGCAAAGGCATGATATTGGATAGTGGCAGAGCAGTGAAGGCCGCAGCCTTATGAACATTGAAAGGCCGCTTACGCAATATGATGAATTCCTTTGAAAAGGCCCAATTTCTTTTCACTGCACGACAATGCGCCCTTACACGTGACAAACAGCAGTATCGAGAATCAACTTAACAGGTAGACGTGTCTTCTACCTGAATGGTGATCACATTGTTCAGTAACCGTTCAGTAAGGGCCTAAACAGCTTGAAATTCCGTTCATAGTATCGCAGCATTTTTGAAATGCTAGTGTTTGTAACGATTAGAAATTTCCTTAGGACGGGTCAAAGTTTGGCCACGCAGATTTGCTCAACATCAAATACCCGCTGACCTCGGTAAGAAGCAGCTGAAACAACTTATTTTCGAAGATCCATGCCGAACGACGGGGAGCATGGGGAAAAACCAGGGAATGCGCCTCGAGCACTACTTAGGTCACCTTCACTCGAAGAGAGTGGTTCAGAAAAACTCGCTTCATGGGCTCATACGTCAACCCTCTGGGAACCTAACAGGCAGTCAGGTACGATGTACGAGTCAGGACGATGATACACATAAGTGAAGGCGACATTCCCGAGCCGAATCGAGGGGCAGTTCGGCGACGAGGTGGGGGAGGGGATGGGGGGTGGAGGGGGAACATTTTGCACTTCGCTACTTTCTATAGACGTGTCGAATCATCTGGAGAACCATTTCATGAGGTACATGAGGTAGGTAACAGATTTTACCACGGTGGTTCGACGAGCTTGCTCCAGTTCGCAAAAGTTCGACTTGTAAACCTCAACAAGTGAAGCAGCGAAAGCGCGAATCCCCCCCCCCGCCGTCGCCGAACTGCTCCCGAATCGAATGAACCGATTGCGGTTTCAAATCTCGGATTACAAATCTATCAGGCAGCTTGCGGCTCGTATCGACATACATTTTTTTTCCTGGCCCATTCCAATGCAGCATGCCTTGTGCTACACACAGGAAAAAACCATATCTGTTTACTGAGTTCTATTCGGAGCTTTTCGGAGTTTTTCAGAACGTAGATAGGTAGTGCGAGGTACACTTCTGTCTCACGAGTGGTACTTGTCTGTTTCCTGTGACAATGAGGTTTTGTGGGAATCTGAGTAAACCAGGAGCGGGACCTTAAAAACTTGAGAAAGTTTGCAAACCACTACCGCATCCGTACGCTGTGGGCAGCCTTACAAATTTATCACTCACGGAATTCACTTGCCCTTCTCACAACATCGGTTCGACTCCACCAGGAGCGAAAAAGTTTAGTGGTGACTGCATTGCATGGTTTTTTGAGCCTAATTCAAAATTCTCAGACTATGAGTACATCTCTTTGCCAGAATTTCTTAGCCCTCTCACGGCCTTTCGGAAGTGCCCAGCGGAAACGAACGTCTTTCGCCTGTTCAACGCAAGGAATGGGCATTCAGGACTACACCTCTTCTGAAATACGCTCCGCGACATGAGCGACCTTTTTTGTAACCCTTCTATGAGAGGTGCTTCTGAGTTGGTGCTATACTCGCCTAGGAGATGAAAATGTCATCTGACCATCGATGGACATACAGTACAAGTCGTGTTGAAAAAATCATCACGACTTTGAACGAGAGTAGAACGTGTGGAAGGCAAAGCCCGCGATGATTCGAAGTCACAGATAGTGGACAAGGGGTTTGCATTCAGGCGAAAAGGTGCTGAGTAATCCTCCGCACAGCTGATCCCCCGTAATGAACTCTACGACCGTACAAGTGACGATTTCATGCTTTTTCGTCCTGCAGCTTCGTTTTTCACTGAAAGGAGGGCCTTGGAGGCGGAGTCTGGAGGCGGAGTCACTGGAATTAAGGAGGCGTCACTGAACCTATTTTGCGTTACAGCGCCCCTCCCTTACACTTTTTGCCGCGAAACCGGTACAGGATTGTTCGCTGCGGACACATTATCCTCCCAAAGCCATATTTTCATCTTCTATACCTGATCGCGGACCGTGCCTTTGAGGGGAATCGCTGGATGCCGAAAGCTTTATTTCAATGAGTTAAGGGCTAGCATTCCCAAAAAGTTACTGGTAGCACAGAAAATATGAAGGTGTTGGGGATTTAAACGCTTCCTGGACACTGAGAGTGGGTCTTTAATAAAAGCAGAATTTGCTCAGCTCGAGGACGAAATATTTTTCCATCTGTTTTCCTGTTAGTTTTATTTGAATGAAACCTTTTTATTTCTGAATGAGGTGACCTAATATATGGATAAGAGGTACAAACGAGCGACGAAAAACTATGACACAATCTTGTCGCTTGACGAAGGGAAAAATAGGCAAACACTGGCTATGAGTCAACCAACCCCCCCCCCTTTGACAAGCCTCATCATCCGCAGCAAACAAGGCTGTAAGGTTATACCAATAAAAGTAGCCCGACAAGATGAAAGACATAGAATTAATTTCT